CAGTTTTGTCCCAAAAAAGGGACACCCTTAAAAAGGTTAAGGTCTATCTGATTTATTTCCATAACATGGTCAGGAAAGGAGCAGATGTTCGAGGGTACTTCGCCTGGTCACTGCTTGACAACTTTGAGTGGATATCTGGATATACTGCAAGGTTTGGGCTTTACCATGTTGATTTTTCCACTCTCAAGAGAACTCGAAAACTTTCAGCAACTTGGTATAAAGATTACATTGCTAACCACAAGGCTGTCAGAACTAGCACCTGAGCATAATCAAGATATCAGGAGTTAACATTTCACATCGAGGTTGAATGCCAATTAGGTTCGGCTTCACTAGATATTGCAAGAAGAATCCATTAACGTCCTGTCAAGGTTTTATGGTTGCAGTTTGTGCACTCTTGGTGACTTTTCAGAGGCATTTTTTATCTGTTTTTCAATGCTACCAAATTGTATCATTTCGTGCTAAAGCGGTGTAATCATCTGATGGATGAAATGTGAATAGTTTTGGATGGCATCCATTTTATATGTTAGAGGAAAAATAAAGAGCTGTTCAGGCTGTGTTCTTTTGAAATTATTCTTCACTGCACTCTTGTTTTGCTATAAACATGAATCTTCCAATTTCTATCTCCGTTGCCCACCTATACATGCCATGAGTAAATAAATTAGTCCCATTAATTAGTCTCTTTCGTTTCAAAAATCAAGGGAAAAAAAGAGGCTTAAGTTAAAGAAAAGGATAAAAAAAATCAAGAAAAAATCCATGATTAAAGACCAAAAAAAAAAAAAAAAAAGTCACCAACAATCTATAAAATTCCAAACCATTAATTAAACTCATGCATAAAACAGATCACTGTTCCAGTGTATCAAACCACAACTAAGCAAACAATGTAAACCAGAAACGTCTAGCACATGAATGATTCCAGAGAATGGACTGGAACAATCGTGAGGAGAAATTTTATAATACTTAAAAAGAGAAGTAACTAATGATATGTATAGTATTTATTTCATAAATTCATTTTAAGAAGAGAGATAGATACATAAAAATAAAAAAAACAAAAAAAATTACATCGGGACCCATTAAAAGTGATTAAAAGATTTTCATATTCACTTAATTTTTTTTTAATTTTCTCTTTCATGTTTCTGTTTTTCTTTTTTTATTATGTGTCTATCTCTTTTCTCAAAATGAATCTATGAAATAATTACTATACACGCTACTGGTTACTCTTTGTATATTATAAAATTTCTTGATCTTAAGGGTCCAAATTGATCGCTGTGTATAGAGAAATAATTGCAATTGACTACTAAACCAAAAAAAGTTGCCAAAAAAAAAAAAAAAAAAACCCATGATGTAATGATCATGCCCTTTGAAACGTTACCATTTCTCCTGTCCAAACAATTTTCATTTACTTTATGAGCTTAGCCCAGCAGAAATACAGATATTCACTACGGATGAAACTCATCTGGAGAATTTTTATTATTCAATATTATTTATTTTAATTCTTTTATTTCGATACGATACAAAACGAATTCTATGTTATTAAACATTTTAATTAGCAACCAATTCTGTTCAATGTTTGACTAATTATATGATGGCACATTATTAATAAAGATGGATGAAGAAACTAGTTTATTCTAACTTTCAGTAATATAAGACAGCACTAGATATTACAAGACCCTATTTCACCCTATTCACTGCATCAGTTGACTCTACACGAACAGTTGCACTACAAATCACACTTAAATCATGTGGAGACCTTTTTAACTTTGTCATACAAAGCATACCAGAGGTAGTGAACTTACCTGCCATGGGAGTTCCTTCAATAGTATATGAAGTTTCGTTTGCATTAGAGCTGAGCTTGCTACTCCTCTTAGTATCATCTCATCTGGAAACTCCTAAAGAGAGCTTAGATCCTTCTCCTTTTCCTCCGAACTTCCTCTGCTTATCAGGTTTGTTCCTCCTGCTACAGGCAGCTTCTTTCTCAGATTTCCTTTGTCATGTCATTACAAATTACTTTTTTGCAGGTTGAAGGTGCTTACTTAACTGATAGTAAAGGTTTGAATAACTGGGATGTTTATACTCACAATTCAGGTGAGGAGAACTCTCTCCTTTTTCTGTATCTCACAGTGCTAATCTTTCATCCAAAAATGTCAGAAACATCTTCCAACAATAATTGAAACTGATCCTATGGGAGATGTTCAGATTACTTGCAATGCTACAATAACACTTCCAAGTTTTATAAAATTGGAAAATCCAATATATCTTCCTTAGGATATTTGCGTGTAGCAGACTTTGATGGAGAAGAATTCTTTAGATTTCCAACATTTTCCTGCTTTTCTTACTGAAGGCAGAATAGTTGATGGAAGCAATGGAGATGTTCCAGCAGACCAATATCGTCGCTATCTGGTACCTACCTACATGCTATCCTGTCTCTTCTTTTGCTGTAATACTGACCTGCGACTTTGCCATTTTCTGAACTCTTTTCAGTAGCATGTGGCCCATTGTATGCTTTACTTTGGTGGTATATATAGAGCCCACAACATGCTCTACAGTGATTATGTATCAATGCATATATATAGTAGTCTGGATCTCGATATTTCTAATGGTATATATTATATTTTTTAAATATATTTTTTAATTTATTCTTCTAAATAATTTTTTAGATTATGATTTTTGAGTGAAATATCTTCGATTCAAATGCAAAAATAAATAAATAAATAAATAATTTAAAGTCACAGGATCTCTATGTTTTATTTTTAAAGTCTTTGTATATATGAGTAAATTATAAATTAGTCCTTTTTGTTTCTAAAAATGAATTACTTAGTCCATTTCATTTCAAAAATTAATCACTTAGTTCCCATGTTTTGAAATCTATTCGTACTTTAGTCATTTTTACTCTTTTTTATTTTTTTTATTTTTTAAGAAATAGAAAAAGGGGAAATATGAAAAAAAATATGGAAAGATTTATGAGAAAATAAGAGATTTTATGAAATAAAAATAATATTAAATTAAGCATGATTAACACTGATTAAAGAACCAAATAATAGTTTTTGAAATGAGAAGGATTAATTAATTTATTTCCTAAAACTAGAGGGACTAATTTATAATTTACTCTTATATATACATATAGATCGGAGATTTAAGCATTCTTCAATGACATAATAGACAATTGAAAATGCAAGGATAAATTAAAGACTCAGAATATAGATAGATTGGGATGACTACATATCAAAGAATAATGCCAATGATTTAGCTCAACTGCCCTACCATTTCTCTTCATTTTTTTGCTCTCATATCTTGATCATTGAGATAACGTGAACAGGAAGACATTGAGGTCATGAACTCCCTTGGAGTCAACAGCCATAGGTTTTCAATCTCATGGGCAAGAGTTTTACCCAGTAAGATTTCATGAACTTAAAAGCATAATAGTTTCTTCAGAAAATTGTTTAAATAAAAGTAAAGCTTATATAAAATGTTAAGCAGGACATACAGTTCTAGTGTTGTAACTCAAGGTTGACAGTTACTTTGTGTTTCTACTTTCTAACATGATTGAATGTTGGATTGACTATTGGAGGGTCCTGATGATGACCCATGATACTTCACCACTAGTTGTATGTGGAAATCAAATGATGGAAGGAAAGTCATGTTAACATTTTGATGTCCGAATACTTGTGATTTGACAGAGGTTTTTTGAGCTAATGAAAGCGAAACAATATGAATCCATCATACATGGAGACAGGACTGATCAATTTGTTCTGTTATGACCTGGTGAAAGCAGGAAGATCTTGATCTCATGGAGTATATTGGAGTCAATTTGTTCTGTTATGACCTGAGCATAATCAAGAATATTATGTTCACATCCAGGTTGAATGCCAATGAGGTTCGGCTTCACTAGATATTGCAAGAAGAATCCATTAACGTCCTGTCAAGGTTTTATGGTTGCAGTTTGTGCAATTCTGGGTGACTTTTCAGAGGCATTTTTTTATCTGTTTTTCAATGCTACCAAATTGTACCATTTCGTGCTAAAGCGGTGTAATCATCTGATGGATGAAATGTGAATAGTTTTCGATGGCATCCATTTTATATGTTAGAGGAAAAATAAAGGGTGGTTCAGGCTATGTTCCTTTTCTCCTGAAATTATTCTTCACTGCATTCTTGTTTTTGCTATAAACATGAATTTGCCAATTTCTATCTCCTTTGCCCACCTATACATGCTATGAGTAAATAAATTAGTCCCATAAAATTTGTCTCTTTCCATTCATAAATCAAGAAAAAAAAAAGGCTTAAGTTAAAGAAAAGGATAAAAAACAAGAAAAAAATCCATGATTAAAGACCAAAAATAAATAAATAAATAAATAAAAGAAAAAAAAAAAGGTCACCAACAATCTATAAAATTCAAAATCATTAATTAAAATCATGTATAAAACAGATCACTGTTTCAGTGTATCACAGCAAACCACCACTTAGCAAACAATGTAAACCAGAAACGTCTAGCACATGAATGATTCCAAAGAATGGGCTGGAACAATGGTGAGGGTCCAAATTGACTACTGTGCACAGAAAAATAATTGCAATTGACTGGTAACCAAAAAGATTGCCAAAAAAAAAAACAAAAAGACCCATGATGTGATGTTATCCCAGATCACTATACCTATCAATCATGCCTTCTGAAAAATTACCATTTCTCCTGTCCACACAATTTTCATTAACTTTATGAGCTTAGCCCAGCAGAAATACAGATATTCACTACGGATGAAACTCATATGGAGACTTTGCATTATTCAGTATCATTTATTTTAATTCTTTTATTTATATATGATATAAAACAAATTTTATATTATTAAATGTTTTAATAATAAAATGTTTGACTAATTATACGATGAAATGTGATTAATAAAAATGAATAAAATAACTGGTTTATTCTGACGTTCAGTAACATAACATATGTGCTACATAATATTTAGATAAAAAAAAAAAAATTAATAAACAGTACTAGATATTACAAAACTCTATTTCACCCTATTCACTGCATCAGCTGATTCTACAGGCGCAGTTGCACTACAAATCACACATACATCATGTGGAGACCTTTTTAACTTTGTCATACAAAGCCTACCAGAGGCAGTGAACTTACCTGCCATGGGAGTTCCTTCAACATTATATGAACCTTTGTTTGCATTAGAGATTTGCTTGCTACTCCTCTTACCTCCTGTTTGGATAGGGATGAAAGCGGGGGAGAGGAAAGAAAATAGGATGAAAATGAAAATTTTCCCCGTTTGGATTGCAGAAGAAAGTAGTGAAAAGAAAAGAAAAATATTAAATAAACCTATAAATGATGGGACTCATTTTCCTCCCAAAATTGGGAGGAAACCGGGAGAAGAAACCTGAGAAGTCATCAAAAAATTTCTCATTCTCATTTTTGCTCTCCATCTGCCTCATCGTCCCTCTCCTTTTCTCATTCTCTCCTTCCATTGATTCTGAGTTTTGGGGCTGAGAAAGCTAGTCGATCCAAATGAATCATTCTTCTGCTCTCTCTTCGCACCCTCGCCCCCTCGAAACTGACGCACACCCCGCCGCCTCGAAACTGACGCACAGGGCCCATTCGCTTCGCGCGCGGGAAGGCAAGGTGGAGAAAATACTGCTGCTATGTCTATTTTATTGTGGTTTATTTATTTAGCTGTGAAGAAAAATATAGAATACTAGTGCTTGTGCGCCCAAGTTGTGTATTGCAGAAGAGAAGATGAATGGCGATCTAAAACGGTGGCACTTTATTCTTTTCTTTCTTTCACGTTGTTCCAAACGATGAGACTTTGCTCTCCTCTTTCTAAATATAAAGCTAAATAGGTCAAACCATCCCTTAATATTAAACCATTTAAAATCAAGTCCTTAAAGTTTAATACTTTTTGTTTTTTGGATCTAATTTTTTATTTCTTGAAATTTAACCTATCTTTAAGTTTTTTTTGTCATTTATTCCAAAAACTAACAATCACATAAATAATTTCACAATTAAAATCATTCAGTGAGATTTATATGAGACTTTTCAAAACAGACCTAACACCTACCGAAAGCTCTCAAACTTATCATATGCATAGATAATAATACATGTTATACATATTTAAATTACTTTTATGTTGATAATTAATCTAAATTAGCTATTGAATTAATTAATTAATAAACAGTTATCGATTATTTTATGGAGACGATTCATTATCTATCTTATCATTTCGGATATATGTTACATGCTAGATTTTTATTTTATTATCATTTATGTTATTTTCATGAAAAAAATATCCATACAAATTTATTATAAGTATTTAAATATAGAAATATAATCATAAGGATATTATAGTAAATATACAATAATACATTTTCTTTCCTTCCTCTTTTTACAATTATCCAAACAAAGAAAATGTATTTTTTTTCCTTTCCTTTCCACCCTTATCCAAACAACAAATGAAAAATAATTTTTTTTCCTCCCTCTTTTCTTTTCTCTCACTTTCTTTCCTCCCAAGAGGAATTATCCAAACAAGGGGTTAGTATCGTCTCGTCTGGAAACTCCTAAAGAGAGCTTAGATCCTTCTCCTTTTCCTCCGAACTTCCTCTTTGGGACTGCCCAACTGCCCTACCATTTCTCTTCATTTTTTTGCTCTCATATCTTGATAATTGAGATAACGTGAACAGGAAGACATTGAGTTCATGAACTCCCTTGGAGTCAACAGCTATAGGTTTTCAATCTCATGGGCAAGAGTTTTACCCAGTAAGATTTCATGAACTTAAAAGCATAATAGTTTCTTCAGAAAATTGTTAAATAAAAGTAAAGCTTATATAAAATGTTAAGCAATTTGGAAACAGAAGGAAGATTTGGAAGAGTCAATTTGGCAGGCATTAGGTACTACAACAAGCTCATCAATGCTCTCTCAGTCAAAGGTTTGCATTCTTCTGATAATTCTATTATTTTCATTGTTCTGCAAAAACAAAACAGTTCCTGAAACATCATCAGTAAGAGGAAAAAATCTGCTATTTTCAGGAATCCAACCATTTGCAACATGCGAACATTTTGATGTGCCGCAAGACTCAAGGAGAGATATGGGAGCTGGCTAAGTCCTCAATCCCAGTTAAGTTCTCTCTTCACTTATATGGAGTCTACAGAGGCATCAGTTATATGAACTATGGAGGCATTATCTGGATATAATATGGTATCTAATGATTTCATTTGTTTTTCCAACCTCCACACCAGGTTGGATTTTGGATATTTTGCAGACATGTTTCAAGAATTTCGGAGACCGAGTTAAGTACTGATCCACCTTCAATGAACCGAATTATCAGGCCACATTGGGGTACCGAACCGGGAAATTCCCACCGTCTCGCTGCTCTGGCCATTTTGGAAATTGCACGCATGAGGATTCAGAGAAGGAGCCCTTTGTAGCAGCACACAACATAATCCTTTCTCATGCAACTGCAGTTGATATTTACAGAACTAAAGATGTTTTGCTGAAGGTATGTGTTCTTCTTAGAACAATAGGGATGCACAGATATATTTGAAACTTACTAACATTAGAATTTTCAGAAAGATCAAGGTGGAAGCATTGGGATCGCCTTAAATTGCCCTTGGTTCGAACCTATTCGCAATTCCACCGCAGACAAGTTAGCCACTGAAAGAGCTCATAACTTCTTCCTGAACTGGTTAGTATCTTAACCTTCTCAGAAGTCAATCTTTTTTACATGACCTTGATAAATTTAAGCACATCTGTCAAATACTCTGCAGGTTCTTGGACCCAATTATATTTGGAAAATATCCTGTAGAGATGAGAAAAATTTTGGGATCCACTTTACCATAATTTTCAAGCGATGACAAGGTGAAACTGCAGAAAGGACTTGGATTTCATCCGCATCAACTAATACACTAGTTACTACATCCAAGACTGCATTTCTTCTTTGTGTGAACCTGGAAATGGGAGCTCCAAGACAGAAGGTTCCTGTCAACGAAGTCAACAGAAAGACGGAGTTCCCCTTGGTGAATCTGTATGTACCCTCATCAGCCTCACCCTCATCTGAATTTAATGTGACTTCTCAACAAGTTCCTTGAGCTTTTTGATCAATGTAGACTGAAGTGGATTGGCAACATGTTTATCCACAAGGAATGGAGAAGATGGTTTCGTACGTGAAAGAGAGATAAAATAACACTCCTATGATCATTACAGAGAATGGTAAGCACAGAAGCTAAAAGAACTTTGGTTGGATAACTTCTTAAGAGTTTCTCATATATTTCCAATGAATCTTGTAGGCTATGCACAGAAAAACAATTCAAACCTCAGCACTGAAGAATGTCTCCTCGATGAGAAAAGAGCAGAGTACATGTCTAGCCATTTGGATTCCTTGCTGACAGCAATGAGGTAATTTTTGTGGGAATCCATTTTTCTGCTAAACATAGTTCAGCCAAATTAGAGTTTCAGAAACAGAAAGGAATCGAGAACTGATTTTTGGCTGATGTTTTAACTCTTTTTAGAAAACTTTCCCCCTCCATTTCCATGCAATCGGCGAAGGAGCAGATGTGAGAGGGTATTTTGCCTGGTCCTTGCTCGACAGTTTTGAATGGAACCGTGGTCATACATTAAGATGTGGACTTCACCATGTTGATTACGTCACTCTGAAACGAACTCCAAAATCATCAGCAGCTTGGTACAAAGAATTCATTGCAAAGTATAAGATTTCAATATCTCAGATCGATGCAGAGGTAATATTATTATTTCCATGAAATATAGAAGTACATTTTCCACTTACCCTTGTTAAACTTTCCTATACTTTTCTTCCAGTTCAATGGAGACCCCCATAGCCTCAATCTAAGGCCCCTAGACAAACTATGATCTATTGCTCATCCAAAAGATGAAAGTTACAAGCCGATGAGGCATAGTTCCAAATCCTAAGTTCAGACTTCAAGAGGTTGAGATAAATCTTGAGAAGGAGGGCTATTCCTTCGTAGCTCGATGTTGAAACAAAAACCAGATTGTTAATGGAATTGTTTGATCAAGAACCTCCTTAATTTTTTATAAAAGGCAATGTCTGATCATTGTTTTCAGCCTACAGAACAAGCCCGGAAAACCTTTTTTCCTTTTTTTGGAATTCGTTTACGTTAAAATAAATTGATTCGTAATGGGTGCAATTTATCAGATGTTCTGCTAATTCTACTGTACTGAAACCTGACAGGATGCCAAGGTAGAACCATCAAATGGACCCTGCACGATTTTTTGTCACACAAACACGAATAGAATAAGGCATGCATTTTCGAATCCAAAGAAAAACAATTATGAGAAATGTTGCGCCAAAAAGACTTGTATTGAGATCAATACAGGTAAGCAACCAGGATGACAACGTGCAGGTATTCGTCTGATAAATATGCATTAAATATATTCAATGTCTATTGAAACAAGTATCGGTAAGGAAAATATATACATCCTAATATCACTTTCATTTGTTAATATCGTTTAAATAATTTAATTTTATTTGTTAAAAAAGCACTTTGCCGATTAGTAAGCTGATTGCAAAAATTATTAACATCTATAAGAACTTTTTTTAGTTTATATATATATAGATATATATGAGATGTTGTTTAGCTATAATGCGATTGATTTGGTTTGGTTAAGATCAAATTTTAATTTTTATTATCCACCAATAATTACCTATAATTATCTTTTAATGATACTAAGATTGGACTGGTTTGGCTTAAACGGTAACTTAGTGGTTGACCAAAAGTCCGACATATCCTAATCCTAGTTTATTTTTTTTAAAAAAAATAGTAGATTTAATCTTGATTAATATAAAAATTGACTCGAGAATATCCATTATTTGTCATATAAAAATAAATGGTGTTTTCACTTTAGAAATATTGTTTATCATCTAATATTTCACTATTCATTTACTATGCATGGTATTTAAAATCATTATTTATTCACTATGCACTTACATTGTTTGCCAAAAAAAATATAGAGTACGACAGAGAGAGAATGAAGGATAGAGAGAGAGAAGGATAACGAGGTTTATTTTCGTTACCCCGACAATCGAGCTTGTCATCAATTTATTCGTCTTAAAGAGTAGAATATGTTAGTGATTATTGTTGACAATGAAATTATCGGATGAAGTAGATCATGATTTGAAAATATTATTAGCTTTTTTTTATTTTGATTTGAATGTTTGTATGAATTAAAAAGAACTTTTAATGTTCTAAATATGTTTGTTTGTGTTATTTTTGTGATTTTGATGGGTTTCGGATAAAAACATAGTTGAATTTAATTTTAAAAAGCCAGAAATTAAAATACTCATTTTTTTTTTTTTTTGGCGACTTTTCGGAGGAAATGAAGCTCCTCGGAAATTGCAGAGGTGGCCAGAATGTTGAAACATCTAGTCCTCCAGGCCCAGATTTGTGGGCCAGTTGCTCCAGGCCCTGGCTCGCAGGTCTGCTCTCTTCCTTATCCGTT